GCCTTTGGGGGGGTCGCGGCCCAGGGTCGAGGTCACGGCCCGGGGTCGGTGGAGAGGGAGCGGGAGAGGGAGAGGGCGGTTTCGGCGGTGGGATTGGGAGGGATCGGTATGAGAGGGGATATCAGGTTGTGGCGACGGTGGATGCGAGGCAGGGTGCGGATGGTGGGGGCGTGGGAGTGGAGGAGTTGAGGTTTGGAGTGGGGGGTGTGAGGGAGAGGGAGAAGTTGCCGAATCCGAGGGTGCCGTCGGGGCATCGGCGGCGCAGAAGGAGTGAGAGCTGGGAGAGGGTCAAGACGGGGCGGAAGACGGTCAGTTCAGCGGTGGGCGGGAGAGCGGCTTCGTGAGTTTTCACATTTTTACTTTCTGGATGGCCGGCTACCGGTTAGGCCGGGTTGTCTCTGAGGTCTGTGGTCCGGGACGGATGGTCTAACAGCAGCAGCAAATTCCGCGGCATCAAACCCCAGTACAACCAGGTCCACGCCCTGCTCCTGACGTGGTCCTTCCACGACCTCCGCGCCGAGGACTACACGGCACCGCCGGCCGCCGACTATGTCTCGCTGGAGGAAGAGACGGCCCGGCTGCGCGCGACGCTCGAGAGCTACGGCTACACGGTGCACGAGTTCCTGATCCCGATGCACCGGTCCGTGGAGAGCCTCAAAGCGAAGCTGAAGCAGTTCTGCCGGTATGCGGCCGACGACACGCTGCTGATGGTGTATTACCACGGCCACGGGGCTATGGACGACGATAATGAGCTAGTGTTTAGCAGGTGGGTGCTCTTGCGGGTGGCTTATGGGCGGGTACTGACCACGGACAGTCACGATCATCCCGAGAACGCCGAGTGGTCTAAGGCGGCGGCGGCAGAGCTCTACGCAGCTCTGCTCAGCGGCGACGCGTGCACCACACATGGCCGACGAGACAAGTACCAGGAGCTACTCAAGAAATAGTGCGTTCCCACCCCCCCCCCCCCCCTTCCATTTCCAACCTCCAACCCTCCTCTAACCCCCCTCCAGCGAGCGCTACCGCCCCGTATCGACCCTCAAATGGGAACATCTCCGCACGCCCATTCTCTCTGGCCCCTGGGACGTACTCCTGATCCTCGACTGCTGCGCGCGGGCGGCGCCGGCCTCCGCCACCTGTCATGGCAACCCCCCACCCGGCGCCGAGGCGTACAACAAAGCACCTGGTCGCGGGGTGGGGGGTTCTAGTTCAGCACCAGCGACGACATGATCGCGGCGCTGTGCGAAGGTGCTGGATGAGTGGGGTCCGCCCGTGCCGGTGTTGGCGAACGCCGAATAGTGAGACGGCTCCGGGACCGCGGCCGCCCACCGGAGTTGGGGCTAAAGGTGGGGGGGCAGGACGGGGTCCGGGTCCGGGTCGAGGTCCAGATCAAGGGCGGCGTCAGCGGAATCCGGCTTGGCTAGTGGCAGGTTCCGGTGCCTAAGAGAAAGGTGTGTTTGTGGGGGACAGGGGGCCGGTGGGGGGAGGCCAGTTTTTGACGACGAAGCGGCTGCATCAGTTGATGGAGGATAAGTTGCAGAAGCGGTCGGTCGGGTCGCAGCCTATCTTTAAGCAGCTGCTGCCGCAGGACCCGGAGCAGTACATCACGCTACCGAATTTGAGGGAGAGGAACGCGTGGGCGGAGAGGCGTGGGAGGCGGGGGTATATCGTTTCTTGATGGGAGTCGGGCCGTGAGAGCGAATGGGGCCGTGGGTAAGGTGTGCGGAATGAGGACACTCGGGTAAGGTGGTCTGATGGTGATGGAGACGTCGGGGTCCACGAAACGGGCACGCAGGGCATATTTGGCATTCGGAAGGTTGATTTTTTGGCGTTTTTCTCTCATGGGTCATCACGGAATCACAGCTACAGCACGGGCAAGCCAACAGAACAGATGCAATGCAATATAACTTCTCGCCTGACCGCTGATGAGCGGTCAGCTTTTCTCACAAATGGGGTATCCATCCCTATGCCGCTGTCCAGCTCGTCATATGCACACCGGGAGACACCCGCCCTCCCTCCCATCATTCCCAATCCGCTGTCACTCACCATGTGCTGGCCCAATCCATGCCCGTCACCAGGCCCCGTCCCACGGGCAAACCGAGGTCAGATAAAGACAACAGGTCCTTTGCACGGCAGAAGAAAGGACAACGATAGCGAAAAGGATGCAGAACACACAAATCTACCAGCAGAAAAACGCCTCTAATGATCCTCGCCATGCTTTCCCATCCACGGCAGCCAACCCAACGCCCAGCCATGCTGTATAGACAGAGGCCTTCCGTGATGAGAGCCGAACGCGTTCCAATACGTCCCAACGCGACTCAATGTAAAACACACCAGGTTCGGGCGTGCAGGATCAGCCCGGCAACCCAAGACAAAGGAAAAAGAAGCGGAAAAAGAAGGAAGAAAAAAGCCAGAATACCAAACCGCGCTGCCAGAAGCGCTTCCTCCTATCTTTCTAAGCTCGTCTACGGGGCTCAGCTAGGCGAAAATAACCAACCCCATGCAAGCTCGAACGTGGGCCCCTTTGCCACAAAACCCACAGAAGGACAGAGCAAAATCCCCATCCCAGGGCGAGCGACTCAAAGGAAACAGGGCCCGACCCCAGTTTGACTTGGTTGTTGGGCCTCGCTCCGGGCAAGCCTGTCGACAGGCCGCAGAGATTTCTTTGGCGGGACACTTGGTCCGGGATCGCGGCGAAAGCGCGTCATCGGTGTCTTTGCCGTGGGCTTGCGGACACTACGGTTCTCGTAGCAATTCCTGCAGTAGACCTTTGCGGAGGAAGACGGCCGGGTCAGTAAAAAGAGAAAGAAAAAGAGAAAGAAAAAGAAAAGAAGTTCAGGCGATTGATCAAGTCAAAAAAAACTTACATGGCCGCAATCCTTGAGCGCCCAAAAGTGGTGCTCTTCGTGGTCCTTCCTTGTGCGGATCTTCTTGGCGGGTCGCGTGCTATCGTCGATGCCGGCATCGGGATCGTACTTCAATTCCTCCTCGCAACTGGGGCAGATGATGACATTATCGTCGTTGCCGGTGTCGCGAGTGAAGCCCTCGCGGGCCGGCGGGGGCGGAAACGTGGTCGGGTTTGGGCGCGGCACCGTTGCTCGTTGACGCGACTAATCCAAGTGTGGGAGATGTTGCCTCCGAAGCGGGTTGTCCATAATTGGGGCCGGGCCTCCAATAACCTGCACCTCGACGTCGTGCGGGCGACCAAAACCAAGGCGCTGGGATGAGATCAAACTCAAAAA